TTGACTTTTTTGTAAATTTTGTAGGCCTTTTTTGTGTCTATTTCATGTTGGTAACACTGATCACTAGTGTCGATGAAGCTATCCTAATCACTACCGACTCCTGGAAAATCCCAGCAACCCGACTCGTGCGATTCCTGGGACTTCATCGGAATTTCCTGCGTTACCATACGAGTACTTGTCTGCAGGAAATTTGCGTCACAAACTGTTCCGCTCTAGATTATCTTCAAAGAAGCCACCTTTTAGTATGGTCTTTTCATCATCAAGTCTTTTGCAGTAGTCTTGAACTTCCGGTCGTCCAGTCATCGAATGCTGGAAGGGAGTTTGTTGAAAAACTTGATGGCAGATGTGGGGAAGGAATTGAGCGTTCTGCTCAGTCTTGCCCGGGGGACATCAAAGATTCGGGAAAGCTCATGTATTAATAGCATGGATGTGTATTGAGAAATGGAACACTGCATTTGATTTCAATCAGGCAGGCGTAGATGTAATGGCTCCAGATGGTTAAAATTCCAAGTCTCTTAAAAATCGGTTTGCAGTGTTCTCTAACAGAGCTCCTTGAGATGATACGGATTGCCGCTTTTTGAAGCTTTAGTACTTTCTCCCTTTCTGACACATGACTCCAAAGGTGCAGTCCGTACGCAATGTGCGAATGGAACAGGGTATGGTATACCATTCAGCAGGTAGGCCTACTGCTCAGTGACACATTTCCGGAGGCGTCTCAGAAGACACTCGAGCAGGCCTTGGCAACATGGGCAGCGTGGTTGTTCTAGTCTAGTCGGCTGTCCAGCTGGAAACCAAACCAAGGAGCTTTACCATTGCTGTGTCATCCGAGGAATCTCTTGAGAGGGTACAAAAGAGTCACTCTGAAAATGTAATTTATAAACAATTCAACTAGTAGGCTAATCATAATAACAGTTTGAACACATGTTAGAAATAAAATGTAAATAAAACAGAGCCTATTTTAACGATAGGATTGATGTCTTTTTATGCGGAAGTAATGTTTAACCATCTTTTACATTTTTGACACTGGCACCACTGATGGTGAAGCTGATTAGACCTTTTTTCGTAGACAAGGCTATCATCTATCTACGCTCAGTTAATCGGAGACAGCGTGGTTAAAGTTTCTCTCTAAATTCGGTGCAGTCAAATAGGCTACCATATTTATATCGTCAATCTTGTTTTTTTTGCTTTAATAGCCTACTGAGTTGTAATTAATACGTAAACTCCACAGCTGTTACCAACACTTTGCTGGGGAAAGTTTAATTAATGATGAAGTTTAATTTGTCGACATTGATTGATTCCTCTATAGATAAATTTCTGATTTGTAGGAATTCCTTGATTTTCTCATATTTCTTTTAATTTAGCCTCTTATCGGTTCGTCATTCATTAGGTCAAGATGGGTCAACATTTTATTCTTTAGATCTACAATGTAAAATAACAAAAGTGATTGCAGTTGTTGTATGGCACAAAGACCAAGCTTAGTTTTTTGAATTCAGTTGAAATTGGTTTGAAAACCTGGGTTTAACGAGGTCTTCCATTTTGGAGACATGTAGCATTGCAGTAATCGACTACGATAGAAGCCAGCCAGTTTTTTCAAAATCTTTTTGTGAAATCTTTACCAAGTAACTACTTATATTATTGTTTTCCTTCCAGGATGCTATGGTCAGGAGTGTTTCCTTTTCTTTTGAGTTCATCTCTGTTATTTCTGGTGACAATGGTGTGTAATACTTAGGGAATTCAATCAAGCCGTTTGCCATTGATAGAAGAATCAAACTTTTGTTTGGATCTTCTAATAGGCCTCTATCCTTAAACGTGTTATTCTAAACTCAAGTAACATAAAATTAAAATTCTTCAAATGGCTCAATACTCTCTAACTGCATAGGCCTATAAGTTTTCACTATGTAGGCTCCTATATGACAAACATCATTTTATTTATCCTCTATTTTGTTTTCTAGCTTAATTATTGATGCAACATGACAAAAAATTTTCATGACTTTGGCTTCGCCTCGATTGCAAAACTTAAACTCAGGTCGAAAAGAGTCACTTTACAAACTCCTTAGTGATGAAATATACTATTTGAAATTTTGAATTTTCGTGTGTTAAGTAAAAGTAATTTCACTTAATTTATTTTGTAGCACGGACTCCTAGGCACGATCTTATGTTGCTTATGCTTAAAAATCCGGTCCTGGCTAGAAACATTTCTCTCTATGACATCAATCAATCAATCAATTATCAATTATTCATCTTGGCATATTGAACTGTTTTGTGGTACAAAAATTGTGGAACACCTAATCCTAAATTTTAAAAATTATTTTCCTTTTTAGCAAATTTCCCATTTAGGCAAATTTCCCATAAATAGCAAATTTTTCATACGCTATTTAATTATATAAAAGTGTAACCATTGATTTATTTTTCAGATGGCTAGAGGAAACTTTTAAAATTAATAAGTCTTCCCGCTGTTTGCCAGAACAGAAGATTCATTCCAGTTGGCTGCAATTGACAGCCGGATCAGAGGGGCTCTACCATAGGCTGAGGTGGAAACCAAGATCTGTTTAAGTAATGCTTAACAAAAGCAAAAGACTACAGGCCTATACTAAATTCATGCAGAGGTAGCACAATAGCACATATACTGCAACTGGCCATTCAGCTCTTGGCTACAACTACTTATGTGTAGGACATTATCAATTTTGGAGTTTTTGTGCCTTAAACGGCCACTAAGCCCATAATGTAAATAAAAAATACATTCTATAGAAAAAGGTAATATACACAAACTGTTAGCTTGCACCCAGAAAAGTAGCTTGATAACCCACGTAGGCCTATCCTGATCCTCATTGTCTGGGGTGTAATGTCAACTTTTAAGGCTTAATTATGAAGATTTGTTAAAGCAGTTTGAGTCATACTTTATTTACAAAATTTAGGCGGTTTTAGTGGAAGAAATCAATCCCCTCCACTTGACCATCTACCATTAAAATAATAGCTTAACATCTGAGGGTTGGAAAACATCAACCAGCTGCTAAAGAGAGCTACAGCTTCTTGTTTGTGATAAGCAAAAATAGGTTGTGGTTGTGGCTGAACTTTCCTCGACGCCAACTGTACATGCGAATCTATTGAAAAAGTAGAGTATTACAAATATTTAGGAATGGTCTTTGATTGCCATCTTAATTTGTCTAGTCATAGTTATTTTTGCTTATTTAAACAGTAAAATTAGAAAATATATCCTATGATTTCGGTCAGCTGAATCGGATTCTAAATGCAAGTGAAATGAAATTTTATATTAAGAAGATTTGGTTAAGTATGTTCTATTGAAACTTTGAAAAAAATCTACTACAAATTTTTTTATTTCAATTTAACGTACTGTATCGAAATATGGGGATACACTACCAAAACAAACATAAATCAACTTCTAGCCATTTGAAAAAGTTTTGAGGTGTATGGCGGGACTGAGCTTTGGGGATTCTTGTGTGGAAACTTTCAAAAATCTTGAGATTCTTACCGTTCCTTGCATAATCATTCACCGATTTTTAATATATTTCAAAGCTAACATCTTTAAAACAACAAATGAACAAATTCACTCATATGACACTTAGAGGTAAAAGTAACATCCATATCAGTAGGCATGACACAAGGCGACAAGCAAAATTGGCAAGTATTTTCTTTGCTCCAAGACTTTGGAACCATCTACCAAATCAATTTCAAAATTTCCCTCTTAATTTATTTAAAAAGAAGTTGAAGAAAGTTAGAATTAAGCTCTGTTTGTTCACAATAGATGAATTTTGGCTAGTGACTGATGATGAATTTAATTTACTAATTATAGAATGTTAGAATATGTTAAGGTGGAGAAGTTAAATTGTGTTAAATTATGTTTATGTTTAGGATTAGTTGACGAGTTAGGAGATGCTAATGTACCACATTACGTATTTTACTAACAATAAAGTTCTTGTATCTTATCTTGTATCTTGTAAATTAATGTCTATCCTTCGGAATCATAAGCTGGGGGGGGGGGGTTGTTCTAAAAGTGTTTTACAGCCATTAAACATAACACAAAAGTTATTAATAACATTTTTTTTCGGGAAATCCAGGCGTTTAACATCTCTGACACTCACTTCAAGGATGTGCCAGTTTTAACAACCAAACAACCAGACAACTTTTCATAAAAAACTTTCTAAGTCACATTTTAAAAACTTTGCAACGGTAAGAGGACACGAAATAGAAACATTTAGGCTGATATGAAGAAATTTTACCAAATTTTCAAATTACATTTTGACATACATGATTTATTAAATTCCATGTTGATGGCCCCTGGATTACTTATATGACTATAATAATGGTACAATACCTCGTCAAGTAGTCCAAATGATGATTGAGGTTAGAAACCTACATGTTTCGCCGTAAATACGGCATCGTCAGGGTTACAAAAACGAAGACATCGATGTCACACGCACACAATAAATACACGGATACGAACATTTAATTACGGAAAGACAAAATAAACATTTAATTGACATTGATAGGCCTATCACACGCACACGACGGAAGGAGTCTGACACTGCAGTCTACTACCTGCGCCGGGACCGTCCGTGTCGTGTGCGTGTGATAGGCCTATCAATGTCAATTAAATGTTTATTTTGTCTTTCCGTAATTAAATGTTCGTATCCGTGTATTTATTGTGTGCGTGTGACATCGATGTCTTCGTTTTTGTAACCCTGACGATGCCGTATTTACGGCGAAACATGTAGGTTTCTAACCTCAATCATCATTTGGACTACTTGACGAGGTATTGTACCATATAGTACATGATTTACCTTTTTTCTACCGGTACCTTATTTATTTACTTATTTTTTCTTTATTTTTGACATTTTATTTTTCAATCTTATATTTGCAAAACTACTAATTATTAAATGTAAATGAACAATGTTTTTTAGGTCAATCATATATTAAAACGTGACAGGGTTTTTTTATTTCACGTTGCTGAATCAGCCTCTTAAAATAAATAAATTGATTAAATAAACTTATTTGATTTAGGTTCCCTGTTGCTGCGCCGATCATCGAGTTTCCCTCCAATGTCAATGAGGCAAGGCCTGCCTCCAATGCCACATTCATTAACTGAGTTTGCGGCAATACTTGAAAGACCGGAATACAGCCATTTGAAAGGGGTGCAGGGAATAGAGGATGCTGGTAACTTTTTCCCTGGTCTGATAGGTGGCCAGAAAGAGGGCTGGACTGCAGCCGTATATATCCCCGCGGCTGCAGAATGATCCCATGCTGCAACAGACGACAAGGCTCCACATGGATGCAACATTTAAGGTGTTGCCACAGGAGCTGAATGCATATCAGTTGATAACAGTCCATGCTGAGTACATGCATGAAGTAAGTATTTTAATATGAATCAAATTTAACCTACATAATAATTGTTGTTTGTAATGTAAAACTAACTATAGACTTCGCAAAAGTATGAAGTAAAAGAAAGAAGTTAGCCTTAGACAATAATATTTTGTCTCTTTTAAGGGTACGCTCTACCTCTGCTCGGAAATGCTCTGAAAATCGGGGCTACAGTAGCTATGTTGCACCTTTGAACAGCGCTGCGAGAAGCACTTGCAGACGTTTAAGTCCCCTCGAGTTACTCAGTTAATTTTTAAAATTTTTTTCATCCGAAGAAGGTTTCTTACTTATAAAATTCAAATCTATGACTCTCGGATTTTAATTTACATCAACAAATTAATTCTCATGAGTAAAATGCATTAGAAAGGGCTTTTTTTGAGAGGTTGGTATTTGTCAGTCAACAAATATGAAATGAATAATGTAGCATAAATATATTTTCAATCGGTTATGAACTAAGCCGACGATGACCGATAATGACGGATTTTCGCAGTTTATAAACAAGCAACAAAAACAGGTCATTCACATTAGTGTATAGAAAATAGTTTTATGGTATTATAGACTATTAACACTGACTATACACAGAATAGTCAATGATATTAGGCAAAAAGAATTTATATTAATTAGAAAATACAATTTACAGCTGTTTCATGTGGCATACGCCATAATGTCTTTGAAAAGCCAATCTGCCTACGTTAGGGTTCTCCGGTACATCCGGGGGGAGATCCCGAATTGGAATCCCCAATTCATAATATCAGATTTTGAGACAGCGACGAGAAGCCCAACTGATGGGCTGTTTTTTCCACTATGCCCAGGTTAGGTAAGTCACAGTTTTATTAGATTTGGTTCTGTTGGACTCATTGTACATCTTAATTATGAGATTTTTTGTTTAGAGGGAAACTTTAAACATTCTCACAAAACACGGGTTTTTGGCTTATTCTTGCATAGCGCTTAACATCAGCTAATTCATTTTCAGAGAATTTCCCATACAGGGAATAAGCTACATCTTAGGTCTCATGAAGACCTAGACTCGGGACTGATATAATTTTGGCTTTGTCGTCCCCAAGACAAAACACCGTTCAAATTCATACACACATACATATATATATATACTAGCTGTACCCGCGGGCTTTGCCCCGTTTAACTTCTTAATTTTCAAGATGAGCTCGTTCGCATGGCTCAATCACGTCCTGGTTGAAGTTCGTTCGCTACGCTCACTCACTTTTAGGTTGGAGCTCGTTCGCTGCACTCACTTGCCTTCAGGTTAGCTCGTTCGCTACGCTAACTCGCCTCCAGGTTGAAGTTCGTTCGCTACGCTCACTCACCTTTTGGTTGCAAATTAGCTGTTGTCATAAATAAAAAAAAAAAAAAATAATAGTGCTGTACCCTTGTTGGTAATCCTTGTAACTTAAATGCTATTGCACATCATAGAACAGAACCAACTTGTTTAATTGAAACAGCTGTTAAGATTCATTAATTCCATTTAAATATGAGTACTCATACGGTTAACATGGGAAACCCCAGAGCCACTGGGGTGGAGCCCGAGAGTCCGATCAGAATAAAAACAACTTAGTTTTCCTATTTAATGCCTAAAGAATCAGTGTACCAAATTTCAGCCTCCTAGGTAAATGGGAAGTGGGAGAATTAGTGATGAGTGAGTGAGTGAGTGAGTGAGTCAGTCAGTGAGGGCTTTGCCTTTTATATATATAGATTACATAAGAATGAATGAATGAAAAAGCGGTAGTCTGCCGGGTTGGCACGTCTAAAACTAATTCTAACATAACTGTTCTTAAACTAAAAATTAATTCCTTCAAAATGAAATTGAACATCTTTCCTTAAACTAACAATGTATAACCATAGTTTAAAAAAAAGTTAAGACTTAGAAATACAATTTAACCAGTTTGTCTGAGTTCATTAAAGTTATATCGGTTTATTTTTATGGTGTTGAAAATTTTGTTAATTTTTAATATAAGTTTTATATTTGTCAAATTCATGTATTAAGATCCACCTGTATTGCCAGGATGCGTTTTTTAGATTATGTACGAACGATCGCCAATTCCTGCCATCACCTTCAGAATGGACCCTATTGTGTAAAAATGTTAATCTAAGATTACTTAAAAATGGACATACAGTGATGGACTGATTTGTAGTTTAAATTTCACACATATAACAAAGAGAACACTGCTTATTTCACGTTGACCAAGGTTTACCATTCAACGAGAGCAACTCTGTCCTAGTCTTAATTGTTCCGGGAATGAAGCTGACATCGGTGTTATCAGTAAGGTAGCTTCTATCTCCAAGTTCAAGGCCAAGGTTGAGGCTGATCAGTTGACTGGTGTATGACATGCGTGCACGTTCCATACAATCTCCTATCCATACATCACTCAGCTTTTCCACCACCGTCAAACATCTCGATTTTACCGCAGATTTAATGCAGTCTTGTTGGGTGCAAGTTCTCAAACACTTCTTCAACAAAATAAGTTCAGGTTTGAAATCTTTGTCTGATTATGGAATACCTTTTCTGTTTGCCATGCACCAGAGTACAACATTTAGTTTTTCTCCATGTCTATTGTCTACTTTATTTAAATAAAAGTAATATGCAAATATGGTTCAACAAAAGTTTTAGTATGTTTTCAAGGTTTAATAAATATATTATTGGTTGGTCATCTAGATGACCTGGTGAAGAGCTGGGCGTCGACAAAGAGAGCGTGTGCAGGCCAGTGAACACCTCTGCGCTGCGTTGTCGCATCTAGCCCAGTCAGCCTTCATTAATTATCTATGAAGGGAATTTCAATAAAAGTTTAAGCACTACTCTTGTGATCAAAGATGTGCACTGTCAAGTGTCCAGGGCATCCTGCAGTCCTTTCAAGTTCACAAAATATCCATGTTTGTAATCTTTACAGTGTTGGGCGATCATTGTCGCATCCCACTTTTTATGCCCTTCTTCAACATTTCATTAACTAGATTGATTTTAAAACTCGGAGCCTCATCAGTCTTATGGTCACAAAATTCTATTATTAACTAGGAACAAAAACATTTCAGTATAGGATTAAGCGGGGCAACAACTTTTGTTGAACAGCTGTAGAAGAAAGAGGGAGAAAAAAAGAAACTGACAACAGGACAGAACTTTACCTATCTTTTTATAATACCAGTAGGGATAGAGACCCCACCTAGTTATTACAATTCTTAAACCAAAGAATGGCATTTCCGAGTAATTGAAATAAATATAGCTGGAAATTCTTTTCAATACTTATTCTACATCAATGATTATTATATGTTAATCGATAGGTAGTTTTGGAACAGCAATTTTCACCGTTGCAACCAGCAATCAACATGAAATCAAATTAAATTGAATGTACTGTAATCACTCAATGGTACTCAGTACTGGAGGCGTAAATAAAATTGTTAGTAATTTAAATTAAGAATTGGAATTAAATTAATTTGAAGAATTACAAGAATTGGAAATGCTGTAAAAGACTTATTTACAGCATGAGCATTTTACTTCCAATAAAACATATAATATACAGTGTATTATAAACAGTTTGTACCATAATAAAAAAAGTGTTAACAATCTGAGCTGTATACTATATACAAGTTAATGTAGAATTCTTGTAGAAAAAGCAGCAGGTTGAGGTTCGATTTTTCACAAAGACAGACAACCAAAGCAGAATTGCTTTTCCCATCTCGTTTAGACTTATATGAAGAAGAAAAAACTGTCCAGCACTCTAGACATGTGGTTTTGAACGTTGGAACTGGTCAAGCATAACTGCTTACAGTGAGAGGCAGCTAGGCTACTGAGCATCATGAACGCTTCCTTAAATCATATACGGACATGCAGATATGCTCTTCAACATCTTTTTCCGACCATCTGCGTGTACATTTGGGAGTGTCAGACGGCTAAGAAAACGCTTGATCTATCTCTCCATTGATAGTGAACCCGGTAGCGCAGCGGCAACGGATAGAAAAAGAATCTGTGGTTCAAGAGTTTCTGGTAATGTCTATTGTGTTCTGCAGTTCATCATTGCTTAAGTTTCTTTCCTCACTCTCTCAGGCAAGGATACCAATCATTTGCATTGTATTCTTGAGTGACTGTGGTGAAAATTTGTGATGTTCTTTAATTATAGCCAAGCAGCTCACGCTGAGCTTCAGCTGGGCGTCGGCAAAGAGAGTGCGTGCAGGCTAGTGAACACCTCTGTGCTGCATTGTCGCATCTAGCCCAGTCAATAAACGCACAAACTACCTTTTTTGTAGCCGCCATCCTTCCAGCTGTAACAGATCATTGCTTCAAAATGTTGTTTAGTTTAGTACAGCTTATCTTGTCCCTGTCTTTGATGTTAGGATGAGGTTTATTATTGTTGTTGATATTGTTAAAGTAGTTAGCCTTGATTTACATTGTTGACTTTGGTTTGGGTTGTGTTGTATGAGTTGTGACGTACTATCAGCTTACACATCAACTAGATTTATTACTGTAGCTATTATTTCATTTACCAGGATTTTACTTGACGAAATCAATAGTTTATCTTGTTTACAAAGGATGCTGTTCACTACCTAGTTGTTAACACTATAATCGGCTAACGTTAAATTGTTTAATTAAATTGTTTGATTCCTAAATCAAGTGGTTTTGTTCTGTTGTTACCATGTCTCCAGTATTGATTGTTGTACTAGTTGTGAGGCTAGTTAGTCATATGTACATGTGATGTGCACTATAGGTTTAGTCAACATTTTATACCAAATCAACATTGAGTTTTTTTCTAAATTTACCTTGCCAAATGGGTGCGACAGTCTTTGGCAGTTTGCAATCTACATTAAAAATTACAATCTTTTTTAAACACATTAAAATTTATATTTGACGTGAAATACTTTTGTAGTTTTGATGGGTTAGTGGACTGGTGTCATAGTTGTAATAATACATTGATAATTGGTAGGAAAATATAGAGTAGTTACACTTTGTATTTGTAACATTAGCCCGTTATTAGTTATAGAATCAGATTTATAATATTACGTTACTACCGTCATTCGTCTGTTCTAATAGTAATTAAGCAAATTTGAGATTAGTTTACTGTAGATCGGTGCTGGATCGAGCTTTGTTACAGGCTATTTTGTATTGTATAGGTATGTTACTATGTTATGTTACTTTGATTTGCTGGGACTATTTTTTACAAGGTTGTTATTTTCTTAGGATAATTATTGGTTTACTTTGCTGTAAGACTACGTTTGTTAATTAGTATCGTTTTTAACAACTGTTATTGTCCTGTATTATCCTCGTTTTACTAAGTTTGTTTGTAGTCACAAACTCTCACAGTACTAACAGGTTTAAATGTTTCAGAACCATGTCTGATCTCCGTGCTAAACTGGACAAGCTGGAGGCTGTCGAGGGACCCTCAAGGATCGCCATGACCGAGCTTACCAACCCTGCTGGCTACATAATCACGGCGGCACGGTTGCACAGTCATGCTCAATATGGCACTAGCGTTATTTTGGAGGTACTGGTGGGCAACATAGTGAAGATGGTTTTTTACCAAAGCGCTTCGGACAAACTATCTCAGTCGTATGTGGACGCGCTGGCTAGCGGGAATTACA